GTACTTATCTTGTGTCTCAGGCAGATCCGTATCTTGTCCTTGGACCTGCAGAGATTAAGGCCAGCTGCAAAGTCAGAGGGACTACAGTGGTCAGTACGCATCGGTGCCTGAGCACAGCAGCGAGAACACATGCCTTGAGGCAAAACCATAAAAGGTGATGTAGGACCCACCTAGTCCCTGACATGCTCATGCTTGTAAAACAGGTATCATGACACGAGCAAGCCAAGCAACCATAGAGAAAGGCCCCCTGTTTGAGTCCCAGTCAAGGTCCTGCTAACAATGACCAGACATGCTGACTGACTGAGTCTCCAGGTGATTCCAGTCTCCAGCCTTTGATGTGTCCCTGCTTGGCACCCGCTGGAGCTAACATGACCTGTCCAAAAAATCCTGACCAAATTGCGGATGCATGAGCAGAAAAAAAAAATGTCACTGTTTCTAAGCAATTCAATCATGTTTCGGTGTGGCTTGTCACACATGCATAGCAATAGAAAACTGCAGTAAATGACATATTTCTACCAGACCAAACATATTCCTTACCCCTCAGTACTCACTGACAGGGCTTGAACCTGTCTTCCTAGTCTGGTCAGTGCTGACCCATCCCTCTCGCACTGTTTCATTAAATTTGAGCAATGGTTCTTTACAACTTTCTTGCTACCGAACCTAGTTACGTTCTTTTGTTCATGTAGGCTCAATGAAATATGCCTATTTTTCAAGGTCCGTAATTTATGCCCTGCATTGCACATCTGTTGTCTTGTTTTTGCCATATCCAAGACCCCTGGTCTGGTGCCACTGTCTGATTTTCTTTTGGGGAAACCGTCTCCTCTTAACACCCTATCCAGAGGCATCATGTGGGAAGCCTTAGCTTCCAGGCTAAGGTGGGCGAGGGGCCCACCCAGACTTAGTTGGCATGTTCCATCTGCCTAGCTGGGATGACTAGTTCAAGAGTGAGCACATGCCCTGAGTTGGTCCAATGAGATGGACTCCTGGACTTGTCCCAGAACAATCTTTCAGTGCTGCCTGCTGGACCTGAGGCTGTTGGCCCAGGGCTGTCGGCGGCCAGCACACAGTGGGGACCAGAGGAGGAAGCCTGCCTGGAGGAAAGCAAAGCCACGTGTCCAAGTTTTCATCACATCTTTGGAGCATCTGAATTCAGCCATGCCTGAAAGTCAATCCTCCCTCCACTCACACCTTCTTAGTTTTGTGAGCCAAGCAATTCCCTTTTCAGCTGAAAGCCAGACGGAGTTAGACTTCCATCACTTGATAACTGAAGAGTCCTGGATAGCTTAGACGACATCTTTCTAATCAATATGGCAATTCTTGAGGGCCTATTTCACGTGTGATTCTGTACGTGGAGTTGGCAGGAATGGTGAGCAAGGTAGGGTCACACAAGGCTATGTTTGTCCTCTATTCTTGTCCTCCTTTCAGCCCTTCAGTGCCATTCCTCATGATGCCATTGGATTATAGTCCTTTCCACGGCCACTTTGCAGTGAGATTCACTATAGGCATGCCATTATAAGCTTTGTGAAGACGGGAACCATTCATATTATCTGATTACACAAGAATCCATGTATGAAAGTGTGGGCATATAATATGTACCCAGGAGATAATGTTTCTTATTTCTTTGACAGGGCACCTAGCATGAGTCTTGTTTATAGTTGTTGAGTGACATGTATACTAATCTTTGTCTTTAAGTAATTCTAGATAACATTTACGGAACGGTTATTCCATGCCAGGCATAAATACCATTTCAGTTAATTCTCACAGTGACATAGAGAGAGATGTTCTATGCCTCTTCCTTTTGTGCAGGTGGAAAAATCCCCAACAAATTAAAGGTTGGAGAGTTAAAAAAATCTTGTCCCTAGTCTCACAGGCAGTGAGTAGCAGAGTGAGGATTCTAGTTCACGTCTTTTTCACACCAAGTGCTTCACTCCTGGCCCTCACACCATGCAAAATGCATGGGATTTCTTGCTTGAAATCATTCTGAATACCCATTCAGAATGAGAGCAAATTGGTTGGGTTAAACAGAAACCTTGGAAGTGTGGGAAATCAGCCCTGATGTTAGTGCGGTGGTGCCACCCAGGCTGTAGGAGCGGATCAGCAGTGTTTTGGGAGGTGGATTGGGTGAGCAGAAATTTGGAGTGCTTCGCCACGAGCCAGATAGCAGGAGCGAATTGCCTGAGCTTTGTTCTTCCTACAGCAGCCACAGATGTGAAGAAAATGATGAGTAAAAATTGCAAGAGCCTCTTCTGAAAAGTGTTACAAATCCGATGGCTGCCAGCCAGGCTGCAGAGAAACATGATGGGGATGGAGACGAAGAGCTTATGAGGAAGCAAAATATAAAAATCTAATCAAGGGTAAATGGGCATAAGAAGTTCTTGATGGTTGCAATGAAGACCTGTACAGAGTTTGAATGAATACTTGTAGGGAAATACACTATTTTAGGAGCCTCCAGGTAAGTTATCCTGTCTACCCACTGAAGGAATAGAACAGGCTCACTATTAAAATTCTGGTGGCTGTTTGGGAGAAGGAAATGCATTTGTAGGCAAATTGAAAAAGATGGCCATAGAATGTTTTTTTTCCGGTAGTGCCATGAAAAATTAAATATTTATAGATTTAAGAACACTCATAAAAAAGGCATATTTTTTCATCTTAATGTCTGGGTGGGTACTAAGTAGAACCCCTCAGGAGAAACTGCTCCCCTGAATCAGGGTCCCTGCCCTGGTCAGTCCTGTGGCTGGGGTGGGGGTTGGTACCTTAAGGGGAAGCGAGGCCTGTGGGTACAGCAGGGTGGGAAGGGAGAACTTCCTTGACATTTGCATCTTGCACCATAGGTTTTGACATTTGAGAAAGAGGTCATGAAAAAAACTTTCTCATTTGATCGTTTGCAGGATTAGATGAATAATGCATCTGAAGTCTCTGCTCTTCTGTCTCATTCACTTGTGTACTTTCCCAGTAGTTTGAGAGCCCCTGGAGACAGGACAGAAACCAGGTCCCTCTTGTTGACTGCTGTGCCTGGCACTGAGTCTGTGCTCAACGAACACACATACTGGATTGAATTGATGCCTGCTGGTTGTGTATCTAGGAAGATGCAAAAACAATTTTCTCTTTAGTAGGTTTATTCTAAAGAAATTTGTGTCAAGAAAATGCTTTTCATAGAATACAAAATTTGCCTATGAGTGACCTCAAAGATCCTGATGTTGGGTTGAAATGCCAGTTGCATTTAAGGACAAAAAAATGGGGATGAAGGAGTGGGAATGGGCAGAGAACTTCCTTCACAAACATTAGTCCTCTCTAAGAAACATACTTTTCCTGGAGGACATTGTTTTAATCAAAAAGCACCTCATTGACAACTTACATGTGGTCTTTTAAGGATGCCATGTAGCAAGAACAAATCCTTGAACGTTCTTTTTTGTATCTGTCTCCAAAAGGGAAGAAAATGACAGAAAGTGGAATTTACTAGACTCTGCTTAAAACCATTGCAATTTTGCTAACTGCCATTATAGTCTAGCTTAGTGATTTATAGTCTAGTGTACCTCTTCTAAGAGCCTAGCTCGGTGTGAGTGATATATAAATATACTGGAGAGGTATGAATAAGATATGCTCATAGAATGATAGCACATTTAAGAGCTGGTTTGGGGAGCAGGGTGGGTGTCCCGGAACTAGTCATGGCCAAGAAGAATCTCGAGGACAGGTGAGTTCACCAATTCTTTTGAGTCTTTCAAAACAGTCCCGTAATGGAAGTGTTGTTCTTATTTCACAGATGATACAACACTTCAGCTTTGTGAGAATACATTACTCTCCCAAATTCATGCTCTTCCTACTATACAATCATTTTACATTTTTTTGTTTTCGCCTGCCCGTTCCTTTCACCAGATTACATACTTGTGAAGCTATTCAGGACCACTGTAATTATTCTTTCAGTTTTTTGATATAACAAGCTATTTTTTGAATTCTGTAATATTTTGCTAGGTGAGTGTAGTGTTCATGGCCACACTAGTGTTCAAGTATAATTTTTATAATCTTTGACTACTTTTATAACATAATTAACTTTGGTCCATTTAATAAATATTGCATACTGTTTAACTTACTACCAAAAATGTAAGAGAAATAGGATTTGGCCATAAATAAATTTATAAATATTAGATCATCTTTGATTTAGAGATTGAAACCACAATAAAATACAGATTCAGTCTAATTTTCCATTTAAAAGTCAGTTAATTTGGTAATTTTTATGTTTTATTTACAAATAGGGTACATTGGAAGGTGCTAGGCTGCTGTTTACCAATGTTTACCCAAAACTTAGACATTTCAGAGGTTGGTAGCTTTAACTGCCAATAATTAAAAAGCTAACTCAGTTAAAATTAATCACTGTGCTTTCTTTTTTCTGTGTTTTCTTTCTTAGCAGAGACTTTCTGCTGGCCTATATTATGAGCATATGCGTCTGACATACAGACCTGGTAACAAAATCGCACATACTGGTGGCTTTGTCTCTCTCACAGTTCTGGTGGCTGGAAATTCAACATCAGCATGCCAGCAGATTCGGTTCCCAGGTAAGGACCCACTTACTGGCATGCAGATTACTACCTGTGTCCTCATATGCTGGAGAGACAGAGAGCTCTGGCATCTCTTCCTCTTATAAGGACATTCATCCTGTCATGTGGACCCATCCTCATGACCCCATCTAACCTAAGTACCACCCAAAGGCCCCACGTCCAGAAATCATCACACTGGGGGGTAGGGCTTCAGCTTCAGCATAGGGATTTGGGGGGTGGAGGTGCAAACCTACAGTCCACCCCAGCCCACTTAGAGATGTCCTTTGGCTTGGATAGGAGGGGTCCTATGTCCTAACAGGGTGAGGGACTAGCAGGGCCAGCAGGGCATGGACACCCAGAGCCCATTCTCTCCCTTTCAGGTGACACTGAATGCCTGGGTGTCCATAACTTCCTGCCTAAACAGCCTGTACCTACTTCCAGGACCTGCAAGGCCCTTTCCCCTTTGACCTCTCCCTGCTGAAGTACCACCATGGAACTCCCCTCCCCATGAGGTGGCCAGCAGGTGGCGGTTTGGATTCGGAGGAAGAGTGGTTGGAATTTTTAAAGTGCTGGCTGGGTGTCCACAGACATTGGCACACGGGGGAATCTGGGAGAGAAGAGAGCTGGTTCTGCCCATGCCACCATGTTCCGGCACCACACTGAGAAGTGCAAGAATTCTACAGGCAACGCAGCCTCACCTTCCAGGTTATTAAGAAGATATAGGTGTGAAGGTAAGAGATGAGAACATATTTTATTTCGATGATGAGGTAGATTTGTAACTTAAATATTTAGATATTGTTCCCTGGCTGTATTCTTCATGAGCCTTAGAAGTGGTTCTGTGAGTAATGCTTCTCATTAGTTTGTATTTTAATATTAGTAGTTTTATGCACCTTCAACTAGTATTAAATGTAAATTGAACAGTATGTGACCGAGAATAAAAACAACTGTGAACTGAGTACTGGTCAAAACCATCTCCGTGGCTGGTGGTGCTGAGCTGAATCATAAACCAACTAACTGAGCCAGGAGCTTGCTTGTCAGAAGTTCCACTAATGGCCATGGGGATTAATTTGATATATACTAAATGTAACACAAATTTCCCCATTATGAAAGGAAAATATATACACGATAGTAATTTGAGTCATTAATTTAAAAAAGTTTTCTTTCATCTCTGATGGCTACTCCTGTACTCTTAGTCTGTCCCTCGGATGTACTTGTCATATGACCTGGAATTTGCACTCTTAGAAAAATTTACAGAAAGGTGATTAGCTTGACATTGCTTTTATTCTTCCTTTTCTTCACTGAGCTCCATCCATATTGCCGTAGGGTTGAGTTTATTGCTTCTGATTTCTGCATAGTGTTCACAGAACACATGTATCCTCTTTAAGTAATCCATTCCCCTGGTGATGGGCATCTAGATGGCTTCTCTTTATTTTCACAAATAAAATATGAACATATATGTGCTCCTTACCAACCCATGTGAGAATTTCTCCAAGGTCTTTACTGGTAGGGCTTAAGCAAAGTTACTACATGAAATATTGCTGGATTGTTTCCCAGAACTGCGGGACCTGATTTAACTTCTGTGAACAGCTTATGTGTGTTCTCATATATCTACATCTTCCCCAACACTTAATGTTATCTGCTTTTCAAAACTTTGCAATTCTGATGCAGGGGAGCAGCATCTCATTGTTTTAATTCATTGGTATCTATTTTGATCTACAGTGCTTTTCCCAATCATTACTGACATTAACAAGTAAATGTTAACAAAATTATACTCTCCTTTTTCAGCCTTATGTTGTTTGTCTAGCTTGTGTCTGTTCTTACAGGTTCTTGTTCTCAATGGATAATTGAGACACGTCTTTTTTTTGTATGTGTATCTACTATGTGCCAGGTATGTATAAACTAATTTGACAGCTGCAGAAAATAGGAAGTGTTGGTAGTAGAAGTGGTCGTGGCATTGTGCTCAAATATCGTTCTGTTTCTTTTTCTGCTTTTATTCCTCCTCTTTCCCTTTTTACTTAACAATGAATTAGGTAATCAGTATACAGAGCAAGCAACATGGGTATTTCTTTCAGTTTTTACTTGTTTTTAAGCATCTGTTGAGCTTTGCCAGTAGAAGATTCTGCAGATTAATTCCATAGGGAAAAGTGGAGTTGTAAGAGGAAACAGAGTTTTAAAGATGTGATGAAACAATTGTGGGACAATGTTCCTTTAAGAAGAGAAAATGGTATTAAGGGGAAAATATGTCTAGAACCAGGTCATTCACCTGTTTTGAGATACAAAGGCTGAGCAAGTTCCTCAGGGAAAGGTTTGATGTTGATCAGACAGCTTGATATGGTCAACTCTGGTTTTTATGCCCATACCATGGGCTTTTAATTTGGATAATAAATTTACATGGCTTTCTTTTCTGCTATTTGTCTTTTATACTGCTATTTAGTTGACTTTCAAGCTGTATTTTCCCCTACTAGCTAGGAAAAGTTCTGAGGGTGGGTAGAGAAAGGGGATTTCCGAATTCTGTGTGGTGGTGATCAATGTGTGGCTGGTCACAATTTTGAAATATGACTCTTCTGCAAGGCAAGACCTGATCTGGAGTTTGTGGAAGAAATCTTTTTTTTGAAAGTTTGAAATTGTACTGCTGGGTGTTGACAGAACTACTTGACCTTGAGAACAAGGTCCCTACACTTGAAAGTATCGTCTCTTATTGCTAAAACTATTTTTGCAGTCGACACAAACATCAATTTCACTTGTGGCCTCTCTTCTGTGCATTCCAGAAGTTCCAGTGAGTAGAACTTCACCTTGAGATGGAATTGTGTTCTCCCTAAAAGCAAACCCAAGAGCCACACTGGGTAAAGAGCTTTGTGGCCTGAACTGGAATCCTGTCCATGCTAAGTTTGGTAGGTGATCTGCTGCTTTCTTATTGCTAAATGTTAGTTCTCCACTCACTGTGTCCCTTTTGACCAGTATGACAACATTGAAGGAGCCAGCAAAATCTAGAAATAGAAAAGCAGTTATTTTAGGGTGGTGTTTGAAACTCTCTATGAGCTGTTAATTTCCTAAGGTAACATCTACTTTTGCTGCTGTCTGCTAGCTGTCCTCACATGCTATCATCTTGCCTATCACAAGCTGAGAGAAAATAGGTATCAACCTCCAGCTTTTTTCTCAAAGCTCTACTCATTAATAAACACTTCTAGAAAACAAACAAAAAAATCAGCTCTAAGATGCAGAAAGGATAATCAGTATAGGCTCCTCTTGAATCCAGTTTAGGATCATCTGAATGAACTAGGCAGGGAACCTCACATTGCTGTCTAATGGGAAATGGTTTCAAGTGGATGAGCCAAGGTTTCTCCTTGGCTGCTTGCCTGCCCTGACCCCACCCTGTTAGCTGCTACAGGAGGTTTAGCCATTACATTCCTCCTTTAGTATGAATGTATTCATCACATATTTCCTTGAGGGGAGTTTTCCAGGGTGAAGGAGAGAGTGGGTAAAGCTTAGGTTAAGAGAGAATGCCAGACACACTTCTCCTCGGGCCAGCACTTGACCTTATGTAACGGGGCCTCATGCTCCAACTTGTTTTCTTTGATTCTTGCTGAAGGATTTGTGTGGTGGATTGTGACTTAGTGTTTTCAAATCCTGGATTCAAGTTTTACCTTCCACCTAATCTGTTGTTTCATCTTCTACAACATGAGAAGATTATTTTATCTCACAGTGTGATGAAAGGTAATACTAAGTCCACAAAAATACTCCCTATTACTACATTTAATTCTAAGTCTACAAAAATATTCCCTATTACTGAATTTTTACTGAAGTTTCCCCTTGGCAATGGTAGGCTCTCCATCACAATGTGATGGAGACTGCCTCAGGGGGCCGCATAGCCTGGCCCCCTCGTTAGTGCTTTGATGTTTGATGGCTTAGAGAACTTTGTTGCTGTGGTTGCTGTGTGGACTCTGTGTGTTCTTAGAAAAGCACTAACATAATTCTATACCTCTTTAGATTACTTTACTTTTGCAAGCATTTTGTTAATAGCGTGGGTTTGGAGAAATCTCATTTTTGTAACTATCTGATAAAACTGGAGGTGGTTAGCAGTAATTAGACTTCCCAAAATACCAACTTGCCTTAAGTCAAATTCACGCCCAGTAGATCTGAGTCTCTCTCTTGGCACAGTGTGGTCCAGAACCAGCAGCACCCAGGAGCTCATTAGAAATGCAGGCTCATGGGCCTAACCCAGATCACATATTTAACAAGACGTTCATGTATGTGAACGTTCAAGAACACTGCCCGGTCAGACCTAACTCCTAGTTTTCAAAAGGGGTGAAGGTAAGAATTATTTGCTATGCTATTCTTGTCACTTGCTCAGCTATGTAGACTGGCCAAAAGAAATAAATTTATAGTCACCATATTAGGTTAAATAGAATGTATTAGATTCCTCCTTCATGTCAGATCTTATTTTAGGTGGGAGGGAAGCAAAAAGGAAGATATACATCATTTTAAAGCTGACACAGTATTACAATAAATGGCATGTAAGAGAGCATCGAACATTGCCCAGAGCAGGAAGACAGTGTCAGGCTTAAAAGCCTGCATTCTAGAGAGAAATAGAAGCCTGCTCCAGGACTTACCTCTGAGAGAGTAATTTGTAGACACTGATCCCATTTGACCCCAAGAAAAAGAACATTTTCTTATATAATTAGGATGTAATTATCAGAGTTAGGAACTTTAAACCAGGTTTGTTTTTTTGTAATCACAGTCCGTATTCAAATTTTGCCCGTTAGGGTGGAAACACACTGACCTTATCGTCTTTGGCTCTCTTGCAGGTGCTTCCATAGGCTGAACTTAACAGGAAGTAGACAAGCAAGGCAATCCAGATGATTTCATTCTTAGTGGTCAGCCTCTGGGAGGAGAGCGAATGGATCTCAGTGGGATTAGAGGAAACAGAATTACCAAGTAAATAATTGCAGGCAGCACTGCAAGCAGAGGGAGCAGTATGTACAGAGGCAGTGAGGTGTGAAAGACCAAAAATTGTTGAGAAGCATTTTGGAGTGCATTGTCATCAAAGCAGCTAAGGTTGGGTCATTGGTAGAAGTATTACATATCAAGCTCTGAGGTCTTTGGAATTGGTTTTTGGGCAGGGAGTGGTAACAGTTCAGGGCAGAGATGAAGAAAGATTTGCTAAATTAGTTGCAGAGAAAAAGGCAAGGTATTTGGGACATTTATTTAAAAGATGTGATAATGGCAGCTGCCAAATGGTGGGGGTTGGGTGCCTTCCTATTTGACATGAGATTACAAATCTCATCAACTCTGTGAGACAAGTATTTTTCTCATTTTCTCAATTTTAATTATAAGACATAAAAATTGCTTGGAGTTGCCAGTGGGGCATACCAGGAGTTCTAACCAAAGCTCTTGGAAAATTGGAGAGAGGGGCAGATCTGGACTTGGGAGACATTCACCTTGTCCATGTAAGAGTTGCAATCAACAATCGGGATACTATTTCTGTTGGTTCAGTATTTATATAGGTTATTTTTATTGTTGGTATAATTGGCCTATTCAACATGGCAGGGCAGCTGGGAGATCACAGAGGCTGTGGTTCAGCATGGCAACAGCAGAAGACCCTGTAGCATCTCACTGAGAAGCAAAGGGTATAAGTTCTATATTAGGGAACTAAATGTAAATGGTATAAAATAAAATAATTTATAAAAACAAAACTGAATAAATCACAGATACATGCAGAAAAACAACATGCTACTGAACAGCCAATGGGTCTAAAGAGACTGATACATTCATGAAAAGGAAAATGGAAGTACAACATACTAAAACTTATGGGGGTTGGGGAATGCATCAATAGCCATTCTAAGTAAGAGGAAGTAATAAAGATCAATGAAAGTAAGAGCTGGCTCTTTGAAAAGACTTAAAACTGACAAACCTTTGGCTAGACTCCTCCAGAAAGAAAGGGCTCAAATAAAAGAGGGAGCATTATGACATACAAGCAACTATATGTCAACAAATTTTCTCACAGAAATGAAAATAAGACTACCCACCTAAAAATGGCTGATGTTACCTTAAGGAGCCTGAAAAGAACAGAGGTCCCTGAGAAGAAATAAATTTCTTGAAACATACAAGCTACTAACAATGAATCATGAAGAAATGAACTCTAAACAGACTGGTTACTAATCAAGTACCAGTCAGTTTCACAGGTGAATTTTATTAAACATTCAAAGAGTTATTAACATCACTCCTCAGAGGGAATACTTTCAGACTAATTTTGCAAGCCCTGCCTTACCCTGATACCAAACAAGGACACGAGAATTTATAGGCCAATATCCCTAATGAATGCAGATATAAAAATCCTCAATATTAGCAAACAGGGTAGAATGACACATTGAAAGGTTCATACACTATGATCATTTCAATAGCTGCAAAAGAAGTATTTGACATAATTCAACAGCCAGTTACGATAAAAACTCTCAACGTTGTACTGGAAGTCCTAGCCAGAATAATTAAGTAAGTGAAAGAAAGGCATCCAAATTGGAAAGAAAAAAGTAAACTCTTTGTACATGACATGATATATATGTATATAGACATCCCTAAAGAGTCCACCAAAAATACTGTAAGAATAAAAGAATTCAGTAAAGTTACACACTAATAATAAATATCAGAAATTAGAAAATGATGCCACTTACAAGTACATCAAAAAGAATAAAATAACCTAGCAGTAAATTTAACCAAGGAGGTAAAGACCGGTATATTGAAAACTATGAAATTGATGAAATGAAGGGAAATATGTTCCATGTTTATGGACTGGAAAAATTATTAAAATATCCATACTACCCAAAGCAATCTACAAGCTCAATGTAAGTCCTCTGAAAATTGCAATCACATTTTTTTCACAGAAATAAAACAGTAACATTTGTGCAAAACCAGAAAGGACCCTAAGTAATGAAAGCAATCATGAGAAAAAACAGCACAGCTGGAGGTATTATGCTTCCTGATTTCAAACTATATTGAAAAGCTCTAATAAGCAAAACAATATGGCATTGGCATTAAAACACACACAGGGATTACTAGAATAGAGAGCCCAGAAATAAACACATGCATATATTGTCAATTAGTTTATAACATAGAAATCAAGAAAATACCAGGGGGAGAAGACAGTCTCTTTAATAAGTGCTGCTGGGAGGACTGGATAGCTGAATGCAAAAGAATGAAACTGACCACTCTTACACCATACAAAAATAAACTCAAAGTGGGTTAAAGACTTAAATATAATACTTGAAACCAAAAAACTCCTTGACATTGTTTTGATGACTCTTTGCATTTACTACCGAAAGCAAACACAGACAGCACAAGCAAAAAAAAAAAAAAAAAAAAGGAGAGAGAAAAGCCACAAGTGGAACTATATCAATCTAAAAATCTGCAAAGGAAGCCATTAATAAAATGAAAAGGCAGCCTATTGAATGGGAGAAAGTATTTGAAAATGAAATACCTAAGCACTTAAGACCCAAAATATATAAAGAACTCAGGCAATTCAATTTTGCAAAAAAAAAAAAATCCAATTAAAAAATATGCAGAGCATCTGAGTAGACATTTTTGCCAAAGATGACACAGAGAGAGGGTCAACAGATACATGAAAAGATCTTAATATCATTAAGCGTTAGGAACATGCCAATCTAAAACCACAATGAGATATCACCGCGTGCCTGTTAGAATAACTCTTATCAAAAAGACAAGGTAACAAGTGTCAGTGAAGATATGGAGAACAGGGAAGGAACCCTTGTGCACTGTTGGTAGGAATGTAAATCAGTGCAGCCACTCGGGAGGTTATTCAAAAATTATAAGTAAAAACCCCCAGAGGGTCTAACAATTCCATTACTTGGTATTTATCCACAGAAAATGAAAACACTAACTCAAAGAGATAAGTGCACCCCCACGTTCATTACAGCCTTATTTTCAATAGCCAAGATAAGGAAACAACGTAAGGGTCCATTGATGGATGAATGAGCAAAGAAAATTGGTATTTATAGACACACCATGAACTATTACTCAGCCATAAAAAGAAGAAAATTTTGCCATTTTGTGACAACAGGAATGGCCCTTGAGGGCATCATGCTAAGTAAAACAAGTAAAACAGAGACAGACAGATGCTGTATGATCTAAAAAAAAAAGGGCCAAGCTTATAGATTCGAGGAACTGATTGGTGTTTGCCAGAGGCATGCTGTGGAGGGGGAGGGAGGTGAAGACGGGGAATGCTGTGAGCCAAATGGCTGGAGGAGGTCAAGAGCTTCAAACGTCCACTTGTAAAATAAATACATCATGAGGGCATAATATACAGCATGGTCACTATTCTTAATATTACTATGGTACATATTTTAAATGATAAAGAATTAGATCTTAAAAGTTACAAGAAAAAAATTAACACTATGTGTTGATAGATGTTAACTAGACTTAGGGGAATCATTTTTCAATACAGCCTTACCTAGTTTTATTATACTCCAGATACAGCCTTTTTTTTTTCCAACAAATTGAAGGTTTATAGCAACCCTACATTGATCGAGTCTGTTAGTGCCATTTTTCTAACACCATTTGCTCACTTTGTCTCTGGCTCACATTTTGTTAATTCTCACAATATTTTGCACCTTATTATTGTATTTGTTATGGTGATCAGTGACCTTTGATGTTACTACTGTGATTATTTTGGGGCACCATGAACTGCACCCATATACGATGGCAAAGTTAACTGTTAAGTGTTGTGTGTGTTCTGACTGTCCCGCTGTTTCCCATGTCTCTCCCTCTCATCCAGCCTCACTGTTCCCAGACACAACGATATTGAAATTAGGCCCATTAATAGCCCTACAATAGCCTTTTAAGCGTTTAAGCAAAAGGAATGGCTTCATGTCTCTGACTTTAAATGGAAACCTAGAAATGACTAAGCTTAGTGAGGAAGGCACGTCAAAGCTGAGAAGAGATAAGCTGAAAGCTAGGCTTTTTACTCCAAACAGCTAAGTTGGGAAGGCAAAGGAAATTAAAAGGGAACATACGAATGATAAGAAAGTGAAACAACCTTAGTGCTGATATAGACAAAGTTTTAACAGTCTAGATAGAAGAGCAAAACAGCCCTTAAGCTGGTTAAACATTTCCTTAAGCCAACGCCTAATCCAGAGCAAGACCCTCTCTTCAACACTTTGAAAGCTGAGAGGGGAAGAAGCTGCAGAGGAAAAGTTTGACACTAGCAGAGGTTGGTTTGTGAGGCTTAAGGGAAGAGCTTTCTTCATAACATAAGGTGAAGAAGCAGGTTATTAAGAAAATCTAGGTAAGATAATTCAGGAAGGTGCCTATACTGAACAACAGATTTTCAGTGTAGATGAAACAGCCTTCTATAGGAAGAAGATTACATTGAGGACTTAAAGAGCTAGAAAAATCAGTGCCTGGCTTCAAAGCTTCAAAGGACAGGCTGTCTCACTTGTAAGGAGTTGATGGGGCTGGTGACTTGAGATTGAAGCCAGTGCCATTTATCATTTGGAAGTCTTAGGACACTTAAGAATTATGCTTAGTCACTCTTTCTGAGCTCTGTAAGTGGAACAAAGCCTGGATGACTTTATAGCATGGTTTGCTGAGTATTTTAAACTCACTGGTGAGACCTAGTGCTCAGAAAAAAAGGTTCTTTTCAAAATATTACTGCTCATTGACCATTGATCCAAGAACTCTGATGGAGGGACACAATGAGATTCATGTTGTTTTCATGCCTTTTGATCCAACATCCATTCTGCAGTCCATGGATCAAGGAGTCATTTCAATTTTCAAGTCTCATTATTTAAGAAGTCTAATGGTAAGGCTATAGATGCCCTAGATAATGATTCCTCTAACAGATGTGGGAAAGTAAAATTGAAAACCTTCTGGAAAGGATTCACCATTCTAGCTGCCTTCAAGAAAATTTGTAATGCATAGGAAAAGGTCAAAATACCAACATAAGCAAAACAGAAAAGGAGTTTGGAAGAAATGATTCCAGCCCTCACAGATGACTTGACTTGGAGGAATTACAGACTTCAGTGGAGAGGTAACAACAGATACAGTAGAAACAGCAAGAGAACTAGAAATGGAGCCTGAATATGTGGCTAAGTTGCTGCATCTCATGATCAAACTTTGATGAGGAGGTACTGCCTTATGGATGAGCATGGAAAATAGTTTCTTGAGATGGAATCTCCTCTTGGTGAAGATGCCGTGAAGACTTTTGGAATGACAAAAAGGGATTTAGAATATTACATAAATTTAGCTGATAAAACAGCAGCGGGGTTTGACAGGATTGCCTGGAAGAACTGTGGGCAGAATGCTATGAAACATTGCACGCTACAGAGAAATCAGTTGAGAAAGGCAGAGTCCATCATGCGGCCCACTTCATGGCTGTCATATTTTAAGCAACTGCCACAGCTGCTCCAACCTTAACCAGCCGCCACCTGGGTCAGTCAGCGGCCATCAACATCGAAGCAAGACCCTCCACCAGCAAAAAGACGACAGCTTGCTGAAAGTTCAGATGGTGGTGAGTATTTCTTTCGGCAATAAACTATTTTAAAATTGAATGCCTATACATTTTTCAAGACATAACGCTAC